GGCTGCTGCTGTACAGGTTTGAGGTCTCGACTATGTTCCTGAATTATTTTAATGACTTTGGACCAAAGAACCAAGTGCTATATACCATTGATGTTTTTTAGGTAACAATTCTAAAATATTTAGAAGTGACAGAGTTCCAAGGAAGAGTCATATTGAACTTGAAATGTTGACTCTGTTTCTCTCTCTGCAGATGCTATCATGCCTGCTGAATTTATCCAGAGTTTTCTGTTTTGATTTCAGATCTTCAGCATCTGTAGTAGTTTGTTTGAATTTTATAGAAGCAGCTAATACCTAAAGGCAGAAATCAGCCCATCCTCTTGTAGCTCTGTTTCTGTTACAGATTTGCGTTAGCCACTGATGGGATTCACCTACTTGAGAAAAGTTTCTAAGTGCCGCTCCAGCACAAGTGAACTTAATAATTGTCCAACAATGAAACAACAATGCTGTAAAATATCACTTTCAAAACCAGAGTCTCAACACATTTTCATCTGGCCCTTTCAATCTTCTGTAATTTCATAATAACCCCTTGAAAAATGGCTTAATGGCTAGTTTTAACCATTTATTCTTTCGCCCCAGAAGTCCTATGCAAGGATACCATTTAAAATGGATTACACCATTTTAAGTTTTCAGTAATTTTTTCGAGTTCAATAATTTTAGGGCCTAAACTCTCCCATGTCCCAGCTCCTACGCCAGCACACCAGGCCTTGTTACCACACAGCCTTCCATTACATACTACCTGTTATTAGTCACTAATAGTCCCCATTAACAACTGTTCACCCTCCCAGCCTGATCGTTATCAACTCTTTGTCTGTCCAACTGGTCTTCTCTCTCTTCCTATTGTTTACTCCCTTCCCCATCCCCTCCCCTTTTTTCTGCATATAAACTGACAGTTGTCCAGCCACCATCAGTTCTGAGGAAGGGTCACCGGATCCGAAACATTAACTCTGTTTTTTCCTTCACACATGCTGCCAGACCTGCTGAGCTTTACCAGCAACTTTGTTTTTGTTCTGTGTTTTACACCATTTTAATACATTACTGAACTGAATTATGACAAATTTATATAATGCATACCAATGAGCAAATGGGCCAGCAACCTGTGCTGTGAACTGTGAATCACCTAAAATTGCTTAGTGAAAGCAATGCCTCACACTTACACACAATGAATTTCATAAGGTTACTGGATTTGCACATTAAACTCAGCACAGAAAGACAAATATACCATTTTAATGATTGCCAATCAACCTCTCTGACCTGTAAATTAACAATAAAATGTTTGGAGCCTCATTACTCAGGAATTTTTCCAATTGCTGTTGTTTTTAAAATAGTCTAAAAAAATCTTACATTTCCCATCTGTCATTTCACTCTGTCCGTCCAGTTTTCCTTTCTTCTGGATTTCTCTTTCTTTTTATACAGAGACACAACATTTTTTCTCAGTGTGGCCAATTGAATATTTACAAGCAAAGCCTGTTAAGGGCAATGCTAATATCAAAAAGTGAGGGGGTGAGTGTTTTGGGATGGGGGAGGGGACTAAATCAAAATGGAATTGGAGGAGGAAATAAAGTACTGTATCCCCTGTGGTGCATGGATTTCTCTTTCTGTACCTGATTTGACATTGAATTAACTGGTTCAGACCTTCCTGTTTATTCCTCAATCCTTTAATCCTATTGATTATAGTGATACATTATTGGCCCCTCAGTCATCAAGATCCCAGATTACCTGTTGCCACTACTGTGGACCTAACAATTTATAGGGCAAAAATGAAACAGTTGTGTTGAAGAGGTCCTGGAGGAAAAAGGGAAAATGACCAGGGATAAGGTGGAGAATGCTGGAAAAGGTGTTGAGACCATGTGAAAATGCAGTGGGTGCTAGGCAAAATGGTAGATAGACCTTTAAGAGGAGTGGGGGTTGACTGGAGGAGAGGAGAGGGAGTTGGGTATTTGTGAAGAGATCAGTGCTGGAATGGGGTGAGACCAGGAGAGGATGCAAAGGATGATGGGATGCATGAGGAGATTACTAGGTCAGGAAACCGGATAAGGGGTGAATGGCGTAAAGAAACTGGAGGAGAATGGGAAGGTGGGGAGCAGGAGGAGACAGCAGAAAGGCTGGGTATTGGTTGGTGTAGACTGGAAGGGGGAGACTGGGAAGAGCATAGGGGGGGGGGGGGGGAGGGGGGGGTTTTAGAGACCAAAAAAAAGGTGGGAATGGAGGGGCTCAGAGACTGGAAGAAGTAGGAAGGGAGGAGTTAAGAGAGCAGAAAAAGGGATGGAAACAGGACAGGAAGCCAGGGGAAGGGAAAGGTTAAGAGAGGGAGTATTGAAGGGGAGAGGATTAGCACTGAAGACGGGGTGGCAGTAGCCTGAAGTGATTTGGGACTGGCGGTTATTGACTAGGGTTAGTGCGGCGGAGGGCGATTATGCTATAAGCCCCCGGTTTCTGGAGCTCACATTCCAGCATGGTGAGGCAACCACTAGCAGTAAACGAGTGCAGGCCGCCCAAAAGGGGAGGGACCAGGGAGGGGAATCAGGGAAAAAAAAATGTCGAGTGCTTTCCAGAAAGGTCTCGGCCGAAACGATGCACCTTTGATGCGGAGAAATCTCCCGTCTTTAGTGGAGCGGCGCTGACGTAATGGGGATAAAGTTAGGCCTGAGTGTCGCAGTTGGAATTAGAGCGGCCGGCGGGAGGGATTGAACGAGAGGTGTTGGATCCTGTCTCCAATCTCCTCGTATCCACGGCTTCAGGCTGTACCGGGAGCTGGTGATGACAGCCGCTATTTTTAACTACCATCATCAGCCGGAGGCCGCTATAAAAGGGGCCGCAGCTGCGACATGCACTATTACAGCAGCGTCTTAACGCACTACCCCGGCACCGCCTTCAAAGTCTCCATTCCAGCGGCGGAGAAAGCGCCTGTCGAGGGCCCGAGTTTCGGAGTGAAGACTGAGCCCGCCGCTGCCGCCTCCTCCTCTACCGCCGCTGCCATGCCCGCCTTCTCGTCATGCGAACTGCTGCCCCCGGGCCCGGCTCCATCTCCGGCCTCGCTCCTCTATACTTCCACCGCCAGGATTCCCCTGCGGCCGCTCGAGAGGATGGTGCCGATCCAGATCCTGAGCGACAGAGCGCAGGCCGAGCCCCCGGTGCCGGGCCATCAGGGACGGGGCATTTGGACCGAGGACATCCTGACGGAAGGATCGCGGAAGGTTTCAGCCCGGATCCCGGGCGATGGTCAGCAAGAGCGGGCAGCGACGGACTTACAGCCCGCCTTGGAAGGGCCGGAGACTGCCTTCAACCTGTCGGACGGTGACAGCACCGAGCGGGAGTACCAGAACTGGGCCGGGCCGGGTCCTGAGTCCCGGGCTACGGAGGCGGCTGAACAGCGCTGCAGCAGTGCCTGGGAACTCGACGGTGGCTTCAGGACCGTGGACCTGGTGGTGGAGAACAAGGCGGACAAAAACGATAAAGTGGCGCGTTACCTGGCAGAAGTGGAGAAGCAGAATAGTTACCTGCGGGAGCGACAAAAATACCGGTTCCATATTATTCCAGACGGCAACTGTTTGTACAGGGCCGTCAGTAAAGCTGTGTACGGTGACCAGAACATGCACAAGGAGCTGAGAGAAGAAACAGTCCATCACATCGCAGATCACTTGGACGAGTTTAACCCCATCATCGAAGGGGACATTGGGGAGTTTTTAATCAACGCTGCCCAGGATGGGGCCTGGGCTGGTTACCCAGAGCTGCTTACTATGAGTCAAATGCTGAACATTAATATATACTTGACCACAGGAGGTAGCCTGGAAAGCCCAACAGTTTCCACTATGGTGCATTGTCTTGGCCCAGAAGATCAATCAAAATCCAGCATATGGCTGAGTTGGTTGAGCAATGGACACTACGACGCTGTGTTTGATCAGGCTCTACCTAATCCAGAGTATGAAACCTGGTGCACACAAACACATGTTCAGAGGAAACGAGATGAGGAGTTAGCAAAGTCCATGGCAGCTTCTCTTTCAAAAATGTACATTGAGCAAAATGGCTGTTTTTAAATGACTTTCCTCCCAAGCATAAACAGTTCAGTTCAGGACCTAAGATTCCCTGCATAAGCTGATGAAACTGATATGAGCAAGACTAGTAAGAAGTACAAATGTAAAGATTGTTAATACGGTTTTTATTTATTTATATGCTTACACATTGATTGGGCTAACAGCACTTTAAAATGGATCAGAAAATCAACTCTAAGTAACGCCTTAATTAAATGTGTGAATACCTAGATGTTTTACCAAATGTTTGAGCTCAAACTAATGAAGGTTGCAGGGCACCTGAATTTTTAATCAGGCTTATTGCAGATAAGAGACCATAGGATTGAATGGGACTGCATTGTCTCATTAAGCATGTTTTTTAAAATTTTAAACTTCTGATGTTTGGAAAACAACTGATGTTTAATCTCTGCTTTGGAGAGTTTTTATTCTGAATGCTTTTTTTAAGAGACTTATTGCAATTTTTTGCAATTGCTGGTTTGTTATTGTCATATCTCCTTCATTACGTTCTTGTATTTGGTATTCTGGCAGGTAGCTAATTGCCACCTTGATTTTTTTAATTGGTTAGAATAGAGATTTTAGATCTTTAAAGTTTAGCTACAGTTACTAACATCATGACTGTCTGTCTGTCTGTTTCTTGCCATTTCACTGACTTTTATACGCTGTTCAAGATGTATTGACATCCGAAAGTGGTTTGCAGGGTCAAACTTGTAACCAGTTTGCAATTACTGTATTTGTATTGATTGTGAAGTTATTAATCAACATGGAATGAATTAAAGCTATATAACATTTCTCAAACAGTTGTCAGAGACTAAATATTTCATACTCTCTTCTTACCAGAAGAAGAGGGCCTTTGTTATGACACTCCAGTAAAACTTCATTTTAATATAGATTGAGTTTTGCAGAAGAATATGTATGAACTGAGTTTAAACTCTCTAATTAAACTTCAAATTTCAACGCTAATAAAATTGGTAATTAGATTATTCACACCAGAAGACATTTGAAAAATGTTGCAAGGCTAAATTGTGTTTTGTCCTACATTGGATGATATTAATTTTTGAAGAGGATACACTAATTATTAATAAATCTAAAGAATGGAGGAGAAACCTTCAGCTTGGTTATTCTGTGAATCTCTACTACATGGACTAGCTACTGATTAAAAATTGGTGGGGTAATTTTTTTCTGCATATTGTGTAGTGCATGAAGCTATTAAATCAACACTTCAGCTACCAGCTGGTAACTACTGTACAAAGCCCAGTACATAAAGTGCAACATCTGTAAATGTTTAAAGTATACTGCAGTCTGAATGTCATGTACTTTGTCATTAACCAGGAGAGACTTACAATAAAAAGCTTTTTAGGAAGCAAGTTATGATTTTTAGCGATACTCCATGAAAGCATATGGAACCAGGTTCAATTGTGCTTATCAGTGGGAAATGGCGCATGCTTGCAAAGAAGTGTTACAGGCGAGGGGAATGTGCAGGCAAGTGAAGGTCATTGGATAGCTTTTCAAGAGCTAGTTCAAGTCTTCTGTGCTATATTATGCTATGATATTTTTTTCTGAAATGGATTAATGTAAATAGTTTTATGCCAGTAGAATTTCTCAGTATCTGCAAGCTCTTTGTCTAGGCTGTTAAACCAAAACTTGATTACATATGATAATGCTTACTACGTGCTTGTCAGGTGACTCTACAGTCTCTTCAACTGTGTAACAGTGCAGTTGAACCACCTTTGGAGATGACAAAACAATAGCACTTCTATCTGGGCAACATGTACTCCATTGAAATGTTGATCAATCTTGTAACAAATACTGGAGCCCTTTTGTGGCCAAAGGGGATAATAACTGCCATGGGTAACTGAGTAGTGCCTCTATTTTGCCTCATGTGGTGACCTTGGCCATAAAACTAAAGCAGAGATAGTAGAACTTCCTGAAGATCTAGGCCCGAAACGTCAGCCTACCTGCACCTCTGATGCTGTTTGGCCTGCTGTGTTCATCCAGCTCTACACCTTGTTAAGCAGAATAGCTCTAGCTCCTCATCTTGCTGCAAGGCAGTGCTACTAAAATTGTACGATTGATCCCATAGAGTAACCATGTTTGTTAAATGATTAATTACAACCTAAAGTGAATTTCCATGGCCTGTTTACTATGGAAACTAGTGAATGTCACATGATCTTTCTCAAAGGTCTGTTACTTGTACATTTTTAGTAACAAATTTAAGTTGCAAAATGTCAAAGGCAAATCTTTTAAAATGTTTTGAATACCGGCCCCCTCAAGCTTAAGAAGATCAGCATAGCTTCAGAATCTCAAGTTACTTATTCATTTCTGCAGCCACACAGAAAAGCCTATATGTCACTACTTCAAGATCCAAATTTAAGTTATATGAAAGCCATAAATCTCATGGTCTGTTACCATGCCAAAGGCAAAAGAATACCTAGCAAATTACTAGGAGAGTGATATATACCTATGTATGAAACATTTAAAAGTGATTATGATTTACATTTCACTTAGGAAATGATACAATTTTTATAAAATAAATAAGGCCTGATTTGAAGAGTCTACCTTTTCTCCCCTCATGAGCTATAATAGTTTTTGTTTGGGGCGGGGGGGTTGGTGGTGTGGAGGATTCAGTTGCATGAAAAAATTATGGAGGACATTAAATGAGGAAGGCTCAGCAGAAGTTAATAAAGTTGCATAAACAACTAATAGGACACTGTGGAAAGGGTCAGGAATCCAACTTCAGCTGCAAGAGATAAGGGGACAACTATGATGAGAGGGCAGTCAATGCAGGACTGCAGGTGTTGTACTTAAATATGTTAAGTATATGAAACAAGGTAATTGAGTTTGTAGTGCAGATTGAAATTGGCAGGTACGATGTGGTTGCAAGGGGAACTGTAAAGGAAAAATGATGGAAGTTGTGTACAGACTCCTAGAGAATTCAGGATGAGAGGAAGAAAATAAATGAGATAGAAAAGGCATGTTAGAAACAAGTTGCAATAATCATGGGGGACTTGATTATGCAGTTGGACCAGGAAAATCCGGTTGGTAGTGGAACTCAAGAAAAAGGATTTGTGGAATGTGTACGAGATGGCTTTTTGGAGCAGCTTGTGGTACAGCCCACTAGGGTACAGGCAATTCTGGATTTGGTGTTGCACAAGGAGGTAGATTTGATTAGGGAGCTTAAGCTGAAGGAACCCCTAGGGGACGGTGACCATAATAAGATAGAATTCACCCTGCAACTTGAGAAGGAGAAGCTGGAATCCGATACAACAGTATTACAGTTGAGCAAAGACAAGTACAAAGATATGAGGGAGGAGCTGGCCTGGGTTGATTGGAAGGGGATCCTAAGAGGGAAGATAGCGAAGCGGCAATGGCAGGAGTTTCTGAGGGCTATTTGGGAAACAGCAGAAATTCATCCTAAGCAAGAAGAATCATACTAAGCGGAGGATGAGGTAACCATTGGTGACAAGGGAAGTCAGAGCATAAAAGCAAAAGAGAAAGCATACAATATGGTGAAGATTAATGGGAAGCCTTTAAAAACCAGCAGAAAATAATTTAAAAGTAGTAAAGGGTGGAGAAGATGAATTTTGAGAGCTAGCTAGTAACATAAAAGAAGATTGCAAGATTTCTTAGATTATATGAAAAGGTAAGAGAGAGAGGCAAGAGTGGACATTGGACTGCTGGAGAAGTAGTATTAGTGAACAAAGAAATGAAGGAGAAATTGAATAAGTACTTTGCATCAGTTTTCATAATGGAAGACACCAGCATCATAGCAGAACATTTAAGAGAGTCAGGGGCAGAGGTGAGTGTAGTGGCCATCACTAAGGAGAAGGTTCTGGCAAAGCTGCAAGATCTGAAGGTGGTTAAATCACCTGGATCACATGGACATTGTTAAGGAGATTTAGGGGTATTGGTGGTGATCTTTCAGGAATGACTGGAGTCAGAGAGGGTTCCAGAGGACTGGAAAATGGCTAATATAACCCTCCTATTTAAGAAGGGAGGAAGACTGTAGATGGGAAACTGTAGACCGGTTAGCCTGATCTTGCTCACTGATAAAATTTTAGAGTTCATTATTAAGGATAAGACTGTGGAGTGCTTGGAAGTCCTTGGTAAAATAGGGCTGAGTCACCATAGCTTCATCAATGGAAAGTCATGCCTGACAAATCTGTTAGAATTCTTTGAGGAGGTAACGAGTCATTTACACAACAGAGAGCCAGTGGACATGATCTATTTGGATTTCTGAAGGCCTTTGACAGGGTGCTGCACAGGAGACTGCTAAATAAGATAAGAGCCCAAGATTTTAGGGGCAAGGTACTGGCACAGATACAGGATTGGCTGACTGGCAGAAGGCAGAGAGTTGGGATAAAGCTGCCTTTTTCAGGATGGCAGTTGGTGCCTAGTTTTGCACAGCCATTCATGTTATGCATTTACGATCTGGATGAAGAAACTGAAGGCATTGTTACTAAGTTTGCAGGTGATACAAAGAAAGTTGGAGAAGCAGGTAGTGCTGAGGAAGTTGGGGTCTGCAAAAGGATTTGAACAGATTAGGAAAGTGCGCAAAGAAGTGGCAGTTAGAATACAATGTCGAAAAGTGTGAGGTTATGCACTTTGATAGGAAGAATAGACATAGACTATTTTCTGAATGGGGAAAGATTTCAGAAATCTGGAGGATAAAGGGACTTGGGAGTCCTAGTTCAAGACTCTCTTAAAAAGTTAACATGCAGATTCAGGTGGCAGATAGGAAGACACATGCAATTTTGCATTCATTTCGAGAAGGCTAGGTTACAAGAGAAGGAATGTACTGCTGACACTGTACAAGATTCTGGTCAGACCGCATTTGGAGTATTATGAGCAGTTTTTGGCCCCAAATCTAAGTAAGGATGTGTTGGCAGAGGATGTTTACAAGACTAGGGGATAGGAGATCAAGCATGAAGGAGGAACTGAAGGAAATCCTTATTAGTCAGGAAATGATATTGGGGAAAATGATGGGATTAAAATCCAATAAGTCCCCAGGGCCTGAAGCTCTGCATCCCAGAGTACTTAAGGAGGTGGCCCTAGAAGTATTGGATGCATTGGTGATCATTTTCCAGCAGTCTATAGATTCTGGAAGAGTTTCAATGGACTGGAGGGTATCTAATGTAACCCCACTTTTTAAAACAGGAGAGAGAGAAAGAAAATGGGGATTTATAGGCTGGTTATCCTGACATCGGTGGTGGGGAAAATACTGGAGTCAATTATTAAGGATGTAATGACTGAGCATTTGGAAAGCAGTGATAGGATCAGTCCAAGTCAGCAAGGATTCACTACAGGGAAATCAGGCTTGACAAATCTTCTGGAATTTTTTGAGGATGTTACCAGTAGAGTGGTCAAGGAAGAATCAGTGGATGTTGTGTATCTGGATTTTCAAAAGGCTTTTGACAATGTGGCACAAAGGAATTAGTAAGGAAAATTAAAGCTCATAGTATCAGAGGTGATGTATTGGCATAGATAGAGAACTGGTTGGCAGACAGGAAGCAGAGGGATGGAATTGATGGGTCCTCTTCAGAGTGGCAGGCAGTGATGAATGGGGTACTGCAGCGTTTGCTGTTGGGACCCTAGCTGTTCACAACGTGCATTAATGATTTGGATGAAAGAATTAAATGCAATATCTCCAAATCTGCAGATGATACTAAGCTGGGTGGTAGTATGTGCTGTGAGGAGGATGCTAAGAGGCTGCAGGGTGACTTAGACAGGCTGGCTGAGTGGGCAAATATTTGGCAAACACAACATAATGTGGATGAAAATGAAGTTATCCACTTTGG